CAGCAACCATTTCACTACATACAAAACACACTGCCGACGAGATAAGTTGGCAAGATCTTGGTACACCTAGGACTGGGTGCAACTTTGCATGCTTGTGTAAACTGATACCCGCGACATGGTGCGTCGGTTCTCCTGTGAGCTCTTGAGAGTTGCTAATAGGATCTGAAATCTGGCTCCCCACTTAATCGCGCCGCCCTGCACCAGCTTTTATCGGCGAGTCCCAGGCAACTCAAATGAGCTAAAGCGGGTCTAAGAACAGACACTGGGCGCCCTGAAGTCCAATCATAATGCACCACTGTGAGCTTCGGTGGCTTCGAGCGCGAAGCTCAACAGCCTGGCCCTGAGCAAGCTGTCCAGAACTTGGGAGACTGCCAGACCTTTCACGTATTGCAGCCAGCACATTCGGCAAATACGAACGCCGCGCAGAGGTTTATGATTACCTTCGCTCCGCAACACCACAAGATATTACAGCACGCAATCTCGACGTCCGTCCAGTTGCATTGGCTGACCAGGCTCTTGCCCGACGACTTTCGCTAGACAAGGAGAACGACCTTGGGAACCTCGATATCGACACTCGTACAGGCCGCCTCGAGGCCACTCCCAAGCCCCGAATCATGAGCGCAGGCACCACTACGTCGGCAAGCACACATGTCGAACCAGGCGCCGGACTCTCGAACCTCGGCGCACGGAGGATAGCAAGTTCTTCGGTTGTTCCAGCGAGAATGCAGTACCGCAGCTGTCCCGTATCAGTGTCCGTTGATCCTGTGTTCCTGGTCGTATCCGAGTGTATATCAATCACGTCGGCCATTCAGAAACATGCGAGGTCGTCACACTCTTCGGTCTCTGCCATCCTGGGAGGAAGTCCGAATCCAGTCCCAGTTGGGCCACCGAGTCCAGCTCTTCAAACTGGCACCAAGACCATAGTCACAACACTGGGCGGCGACAGCTCGAACGATGGAGGCCTTGCCAACCGCTGGGGGCTTCGGGGGAAGAAGGGCAAGAGCATGCAGGATAACCCTCTCATGGCAGGATTTGGCAGGCTACGCCACGAACTTGCCGCCGTGCGAGGTATGTTGCCTGTAGGATTCCCTGTCAATAAAGACATGGCTAACGAATTGCCAGATATAAACACCTTCGACGCCGTGTCACTACTGAGTCCATTCCTCCAGATCGTACAGACTAAGGGCACCGCCGCCCCGATAACTATTCTGACTCTTGGAGCACTTCGCAAGTTCTTGGCTTACGGCTTCATTGGCCCAACATCTCCCCGGTTCCCTCTAGCTATGCAATCACTCTCGGCTGCAGTTACCCGCTGCCAGTTTGACACAAGTGACGCTGGGCAAGTTGAGGTCGTTCTGTTGATGATTTTGCATCTCATGGAAGATATGATGTCGGGGCCTGGAGGAGACATTCTGAGCGATGAGAGTGTGTGTGACATGATGGGCCGAGGGCTCGCCATATGCTCTCAGCCACGGTTCTCCCCAGTTCTCCGACGGACTGCAGAGAGTGCTATGGTACACATGTGCCAGATCATTTTCGAGGACGTGAAACACTTGGAACTTGAGGCAGGCGTTGATCCTGATGCTCTCGACCGTCAGACCGACGGAGACATGGATAATGTCACAATGGATCCTGCGCCCGCGGGTATCAACGGCGATTCTCTGTCAGTGGCTCAAGTTGACAATACACGCCCCTCGACCAGCTCAGAAATTACGGATCCAAAGGAGAGCCTCGAAGCCAATGATGCCTCCGAAGATAGCGAGATGAATCCCGAAGAGCCAAACGATGTCGAATCCCTCGATTTGAGACCATACTCGCTCCCTTCTGTTAGGGAACTCTTCAGGGTTCTCGTCAACTTCTTGGATCCGACCGACCGCCAGCATACCGACACCATGCGGGTCATGGCTCTACGAATCATTCATGTGGCACTGGAAGTATCTGGACCTTCCATTGCGAGGCACCCTGCCCTCGCTACCATCGCTGAAGATCGTCTGTGCTGCTACTTGTTTCAGCTCGTACGGTCTGATAACATGGCCATCCTTCAAGAGTCCCTGATTGTGGCAGGCACGCTTCTTGCGACTTGCAGGGGTGTACTTAAGCTCCAACAAGAACTATTCTTATCATATCTTGTAGCGTGTCTACACCCCTCCGTGGAAATACCGCGAGAACCAGGCATTGACCCTTCTCTCTACGCCGGCATTCCGCAGGCTCCCAAGCTCGTCAAACCCCCTCCATCACAGGCAAATAGCGGACGTTCGACTCCCGTTCCTGTCAAAGACCGCCAGAAACTGGGGCTCGAAGGCGGCTCTCGCAAGCCAGATGCACGTCAAGCAATGGTAGAAAGCATCGGAGTACTATCAAGGATGCCAAATTTCATGACGGAGCTCTTTGTCAACTATGATTGTGATCCCGATCGTGCGGACCTTTGCGAAGATCTAGTCGGGCTTCTTTCCAGAAACGCATTGCCCGATTCGGCAACCTGGAGTACTACCAGTGTGCCTCCGTTATGTCTTGATGCTCTGCTCCGTTATGTTCAATACATTGCAGAGCGTCTCGAACTACAGCCTGCCTCCGAGGATCTTCCTTCAGCGGACCATTTACGAGAACAACGACGTCGCAAGAAGATCATCATCAAGGGCACCACTAAGTTCAACGAGACTCCAAAAGGCGGGCTAGCCTACCTGCAAGCCCAAGGCATCATCGACGACGCTCAGAATGTGACCTCGGTTGCCAGGTTCCTACACGCGACATCACGAGTCAACAAGAAGGTCCTTGGCGAGTACCTGTCCAAGAAGGGAAATGAGCCAGTTCTGGAAGCGTACCTGGATCTCTTCGATTTCGATGGCAAGCGTGTCGACGAAGCCCTGCGGGTCCTTCTCGAGACCTTCAGACTTCCTGGTGAAGCCCCTCTCATTGAGCGAATCGTTACTGTCTTTGCCGATAGGTACTGCGCCAACGCAACGCCGACCGAGGTGGCAAATCAGGATGCCGTGTTCGTCTTGACATACGCCATCATTCTGCTGAATACAGACCAGCACAATCCGACCGTCAAGAAGACATCGAAACGCATGACTCTAGAGGACTTTTCGAAGAATCTACGTGGTGTAAACGACGGGGGTAACTTCGCGCCCGAGTATCTTCAAGAAATCTTTAATTCGATCAGAAACAATGAGATCATTCTGCCTGAGGAACACGACAATAAGCACGCATTTGACTATGCTTGGCGTGAGCTATTGGCAAAAACGGAGATTGTTGGGCCATTAGTCCTCTGCGACACCAACATATACGATGCCGACATATTCGCAACAACATGGCGCCCGATAGTCTCGACTCTGTCCTACGTGTTCATGTCGGCTACCGACGACGCCGTCTTTGCTAGGATTGTTACTGGCTTTGATGAATGCGCCAGAATCGCAACCAAGTTCGGCAACAGCGAGGCTCTTGACCAGATTGTGTACTCCCTGAGCCACATGACAACACTGGCCACCGACCTTCCGTTCAGCACCAACCTCAACACAGAGGTTCAAGCTGGGAACAACACGGTCATGGTGAGCGAACTCGCAGTCAAGTTGGGCAGGGACTTCAGAGCACAGCTTGCAACCTTGGTCCTCTTTAGAGTGGTTACGGGAAGCGAGAGTCACATACGCAAGGGCTGGAGACACGTAAGTGGGACAGATTGGCCTCGCTCTCTTCAACACTGACCAACTTACGCAATACAGGTCATCCGTATCTGGCTCAACTTGTTTGTCAACTCGTTGATGCCTGCACCGTCCGTCGCCGATTCTACACTTGCAGTTATTCCTGCCATTCCTCTTCAAACCCCGTCTCAAGTCATTGATCGAGCTTCAAAAACAGCAGAAACGGGGTTCTTCTCAGCATTTACGTCGTACATCTCTAGCTATGCTGCTGATGACCCCCCTGAGCCCTCAGACGAAGAGTTGGAGAGCACACTTTGCTCTGTTGACTGCGTGAACTCGTGTCACATGGCGACTGTTTTTGCCAACATAACGTAAGACACGAGATATGGTTGGCTGTATATATGACTGACATGTTGCTAGCGAGCTAGGTGCTTCTGAGCTGGCGCACTTGGTTGATGGCCTGATCAGCTCTCTGCCCGAAGAGCAGAATTCTGCAGTCATAACCGTCAAATCGGATCATGTGCCTCCTGCGCCTCAGCTTGAACCAAAACTTGGCACCTTGTCGTATGACCCCGCTATGGTTTTCTCACTGGAGATGATGGCAGGACTCGCCCTGCGTGACCAAGCGACTCTGCAGGTTCTTGGAAAGCAAGTCATGGACACTCTGCAAGCCATCTTGCGGGATGCCAACCAGTATCACGCAATGATTGTCTCAAGAACGTCCTTTTACCTCCTCACGCTCCTTCACGCAACCCATGTACGTCACAGTCCTAATATCCACAAGGGGATGTCATCTTAGTCTCTGATGTATACTTTACTGATGCTCCAAGCTGCAGACCCTGGACTACGTTAACATCCCAGTCCTATTGCACACCATCTCCAACTTCCCCAAGGAAACGCTTGCCAAGTCATCCGTGATGCTCATTCAGGGGCTGAAACTCTGCGTTGTCGAACCGGGTCCTCTCAGGAACGAGATCATGACTTCGCCTGATTTCTGGTCCATCATGCGAGCCCTGGCTGGAAGATACGATTCGGCAGCTGTCGTGTTTGATCTTCTCGAACGGGGTTGTACCGGCGTACCTCCTGCAATAATGGCAGATAACTACGAGGCGGCGCTCCTTTTGCTCGGCGACTTTGCATCTGCAGCTGGGCGTGCCGTCCTTGCGGAAAGAAAACAAGAGCAAAGACCCCGCAAGTCCCGTGACTCTGAGCGTGAGCCGCCGAGGTAAGTGCGTCCAAAATGTGATGTGAGCTGTTTCTAATATTAGGAAATAGTGATACTGTAACCAGAGGCATAAGGTCTATCACAACAATGTACAACATGACCAGCCGGATTCCTGAGCTCATGAAACAATCTCACCTAGAAAGCAAAGAGGGTAAGCTGCACACTTTTGCTTCAGAGAATGGCAAAGTTAACTTGTTTGTAGCTTGGTCGGCGTATTGGCTACCCAGCCAAGCTCTGACAGCTCATGCAACCAACCATGCAGGGACGGTCCGACTCTGACTTTCACTTCACTACAGCGATCTTTATTGTCACCTGACGTGACTGCAGCGACACAGGAGTGGACAGCGATTTTTGGCGAAGTCTATTTCCTTGATCCATCGTCTCTTGAAGCCGGAGGTATTCACCTCCGATCGAGATGGCATGGGTGAGATGAGAGTTCAGTCATCATCGTTGCTTTGCAAGGTCTTCCTGCAGTATCTTGTTCTGCTTTCTACTTGGGACGGCATGCTTGACCTGTGGTTGGAGATCATTGATATCATGGATCGCTTAATGAATAGCGGGCAGGGTGACAGTTTGGTAAGCGATCAATGCGAACACGGTGAGGCTGACAGTAATTTTGCTAACATTCTGAACAGGAGGAGGCTGTCCGTGAAAATTTAAAGAATGTTATACTCTTCATGTCAAGCAGTGGCTTTCTTGTTGCGCCGAGTCAGGACGCTTCGAAGGAGACGCTGTGGAGTGAGACATGGAATAGGATTGATCGTTTTGTTCCCGATCTTAAACGCGATCTAGCTCTAGACGAGCCAAGGGCAGATGGCGGGGATGAAGAGGCCGCGGTCGCCGCTTCGACCGCAGAGCAGAACAGTGACAACTCGCAAGCATAGCTAGGAATTAATGCATGCATGCAATGAGCGGGTTCAAGTAAGTTCGGCGTTTAGGGTTGTTGGAGACTCGAATACACAGCATTGCTCGCTATCAACCTTTGTGCTCATGAGCAGTCCCATGCATACACACAATCATGGCCAGGGGGACTATTTGTACCCAGCCCTTTGCAATGATATGACTTGCGACTAAGTCACTGATATGTGTGCCCAGTCTCTTTCTGGTATCGTGTAGAACCAGACTTGCCTTGCAACGGCTTAAAGGAAGAAATGCTTTGTAGGGACTGCCGGACACAGGTAGAGCTAGTTTGCACCAACGATAAGAACTCTTTAGAAACATAGCGACCCGGACTCTGCGTATTCCAATCTATTCAACATACCTAAGGTAGGTAAGGTAGGAAGAGATAATGGCTGGATAGCCTGATACACTGGTTTATATATCCATGCGATGCATATAAGTGAGCTTGGAAAAGTATGCTACCCCATTTATGTAGCTATCGATGCGTCGTATCGCAATGAACCTTGCCCGCTCTGCATCTAACAGGACTGTTCTGCAGGCTTACCACAAACCACTACTGCCGACGTTAGAGCTGGACATCAGACTCTCTATCAAAAATGGCATCCGGCCCTTCAATCGCCACGTACGTGTCATTGCACCCCGACACGTCTGGCATTGGGCTCGCTGGCTGACCCGCGCTTCAGGGTGTACGTTCGCAATCTCGAGGAACGAGTCAAGATTGATGTCTTGAAGGAATCGCTCCTTCAGATTTTCTCCGAGTACGGAAATGTACTCGAGATTATTGCCAAAACCAATTTGAAGTCAAAGGGTCAGGCGTTCATCGTGTTCGACGACGCGGATTCAGCACAGAACGCCATTGACGAAGTCCAGGGCTTCGAGCTGTTCGACAAGCAATGCAAGTTGCGTTGGCTAAGACTAGGAGCGATGCGACAGTGAAAACGCAAGGGAGCGAGGAAGATTTTGAAGCGCATAGACGTCGCAGGCTGGCAGAGAAAGGTGAGCTCCAAACATACCACACCAGTATATGTTGCCCGCTGATGGATTTTGCAGATAAAAAACGAGCCTCGAGGCTGCCGAAGAACAGAAGCGCGTGCAGCGCTCTGGTGCTTGCGCTGCAACTGACGCGCAGGTCGACCAGCAAGGCGGCGGAA